AAAGAGAGAGAAGGTAACTAAAACACAGAAAGCATATACATGGTATTTTAAATATCTAACAGTTATGAACAGAGGTGGAACATATTAATAGTCCTTTTCATCTCTGTAGTAAGTACATTAATCATTTAACAAATATTTTACCTAAATTATCTTTTTTAAAACTAAAAGCAGAGATGAGTAATTGCCCTAAGCATAATATTATGGCATAATGTAGCACATTAAGATGATCTTTTTTCTTTTTATTTATTCTTCTCTCACACAGTACATCCCAACCACAGTTTCCCCTCCCCTAAGGAAAAAAAAGAAAAAAAAACAGAGAACCATCCTCACTACACACCCCTAATAACCAAACCCCTCCTTCTCTTATGGGAATTCTCATAAAATGAAGCTTCCAAAAAATAATCTGGGCTTTTCACTCTTGTGGTCCACGGCTGTATTACAATATAGTCTAATCTTATCTTCTGCTTTGCTTTGAATACAGTTTCTATGCCACTTTAAAAAAAAAGATTATTTATAAACTAACTCCAAGATGTCTTTGCAAGCCTTGAAGCAGTGTTTTTTCCTTATTCTTCTCTCGTGTGTTTCATTCTGACCACAGCTTCCCCTCCCTCCATTCCCTTCAGCTCCATGCTCTCCCATCCACTTCTCTTCTGTTTCCCTTCAGAAAAGGTCAGGCTTCCCAGGGATATCAACCAAACACTGCGTAGCAAGTTACAGTGAGACAAGACACACCCCCTCACATCAAGGCCGGACCGAGGCAGCCCAGTAGGAGGAAAAGGGTCCCAAAAGCAGGAGAGACAGTCAGAGACACCTCCACTGTCACTGTTGGGAGTCCCACAAAGACACCAAGCTGCACAACTGTAATGTGTATGCAGAGGACCTAGGTCAGACCCATGCATGCTCTGTGATTGTGCCTTCAACCTCTGGGAGCCCCTCTGAGCCCTGCTTAGTTGACTCTGTGGGCTGTTTTCTCATGGTGTCCTTGACTCCTCTGACTCCTACAATCCTTCCTTCTCTTTGAAGCAGGTTTTTTAAATGACTGTTTTAATGTTGTTATTTTGTTGTTGTTGTTGTTTTCCCCTGAGACAGGGTTTCTCTGTGTAGTTTTGGTGCCTGTCCTGGATCTCGCTCTGTAGACCAGGCTGGCCTTGAACTCACAAAGATCCGCCTGGCTCTGCCTCCTGAGTGCTGGGATTAAAGGTGTGAGTCATGGCTGCCTGGCCGTTAAATGACGGTTTTTAAAAAATATTTAGAGTTGTATCTCACATAGGCTTGGCTAAGATACCAGTTTTGAAAAACCTTTTTTTTCCCCCCCAAGACAGGGTTTCTCTGTGTAGTCCTGGCTATCCTCACTCTGTAGACAATGTAGACAAGGATGGCCTTAAACTCAGAGATCCATCTGCCTCTGCCTCCCAAATGCTGGGATTAAAGGCGTCCGCCGCCGCCGCCGCCGCCGCCGCCACCACCACCACCAGCCAGCAACCTGTTTCATTTTTTAAAAGTTGCACGGGCGGTGGTGGTGGCGCACACCTTTAATCTCAGCACTCAGGAGGCAGAGGCAGGTGGATCTCTGTGAGTTTGAGGCCAGCCTGGTCTACAGAGTGAGTTCCACGACAGCCAGACAGAACTATTACACAGAGAAACTCTATCTCTAAAAACAACAAACAAACAAAAATTGCAAATGTTTATACATACAAAATACACCTAAAAGCATAGAGATAAACATCCCTGGGATAAGGAGTTTAGCATCTCAGGGTCAATTAGTGAATATGAAAAATTGTACCTGAAGCAGGAGCAGTCATTTTTTAAAATTAAGTTATTCCCTCAAGCAATAGGACATTTTGTGGAATCAGAATCCAGATGAGGATCAATTAGATACCATTGTGACGGGAAGCATATAATTATGTATATCTTATCTTTAAAAAAATTTTAATTTAAATTTAAAAACTCATGTTAATTCCTCCAAAGAAAGATCCAGGACCCCTCTGCTTGTTTCCCCAAGGTGGTCACACTGATTTCCTAACCCCCTTGTCACTTACTTGGTCCCTTTAATTGGTGAACTAGACGCGTGGTGTGGCTAAGCTTACTGAGGGAACAGTTGGCGTTAGAGATTTTTTTCCCCCTTCACATTTTAGTTTTACTGTGAGCTAAAAGAGAGCTGGGCCAATTGAACAGTTTTAGCTTACACAAACACTTTACTGAAAAGCCAATTTGGTACCGAGTAAATGATGTTAACATAAGCCCACATGGATAGTGCATACACGGAGAGTTTTAAGAACCAAAATTTTGACTTTCTATTTGTTCGGATTCTCTCTCCAATAATCCTCACTGTGAAGAGGAGACAACACAAAGGCTGAGAGGGTGTGAGCTTCTGAGAGGCAGAGAGCGCTGTCACCTCTGAACCCTCCCTTTACTTAGCCTCTCAGAGTGACAGACTCCATCCCACTACCCCTGGCTTCTCTTTGACATCTAGGCCCTAGGGAAGCCAATCCCAAGGCCTAGAGCTCAGTGGCTATTTAATAAACAGTGCAGGCCTGGTCCCTGAGGACTTGAGTCCCTACCTCTCCACGTGGCCTCCATGCCCTGCTCCTCCTGGCATTCATAGATCCCACCGGCTGATGGCACACCCAGGTTTATCCACTCAGTGAAAATCAATTAAAGGTTTGTTTAGGGCTCAGGCTCTGTGAATAAATATCTGCAGAGACCGCCCCCCCCCACCCTCCCTCTTTGGAGCTCATCTTCCAAGACAAAAGGCAGAGTAATTTGACAATCTAAGAAATCAGTGACTGTTTTTGCATGGTTCTCCTTGTATAAGAATGTGGGGCTGAGCCAGGTGGTGGTGGCGCATACCTTTAATCCCAGCACTCGGGAAGCAGAGGCAGGTGGATCTCTGTGAGTTCGAGGCCAGCCTGGTCTACAGAGTGAGTTCCAGGACAGGCACCAAAGCTACACAGAGAAACCCTGTCTCAAAAAAACCAAAAACCAACCAACCAACCAACCAACCAAACAACCAAACAAAAAGAATGTGGGGCCGGGCAGTGGTGGCACACACCTTTAATCCCAACTCTTGGGAGGTGGAGGCAGGTGGATCTCTGTGAGTTCGAGGCCGGCCTGGTCTACAGAGCTAGCTCCAGGACAACCAGGGCTACATAGAGAAACCCTGTCTCAAAAAACTCAAAAACAGACAAAAATAACAAAAAGAATGCAGAGAAACAATGCTGGAGTCAGAAGTGTGAGGCTGTAAATCCACGGGGCGTCCAGGAGAGGGAAGTGAATCTGCACGAACCCCTTTTTAGCTGGGCTAATTCCTACATGAGGGAGCACCCACAGAAGTGGGACAGTGCTCCCTGAGTGCCCGTGGGCATGACTACCCCTGGTCAGGTTGCGGTAAGGAGGGAAGTGTTAGCAGGTGGGCTGTCGCTCAGGGTCACAAGCAGCAGGGTGGGGGGCTACACATGGACCTGACACCCAGGGGGTCGGGGCTTTGTGCTGGGCACTGGCCCACCAAGACTCCGTCAACAAGGAACAGACTATTCTTAGTCTAAAATGGACTCCCCCTAGAAGATCAAGGCCCTGGGTTTCGGCTAGTTGCCAAGTCACATGGCAAAATAAGGGTCAGGTCTAGCTGGGTGGAGTGGCATGACATATTTTTAGTCCCAGCGCTCAGGAGAGAGAGAGGTGGATCTCTGAGTTCAAGGCCAGCCTGGTCTACAGAGTGAGATCCAGGACAGCTAGGGTTAAAGAGAGTCATGCCTGTTCCATCCTGGAATCTGTGTAGCAGGTCCTACGTTAGTTACCTCTCTCACCCTGAAGGCCCTCTCAGCTCAAATCCCTAAGTCCAGCTTCTTCCTAGGTAGGACAAGGACTCCCTGCTTCCACCTCTGACCCAGGGAAGTCACTGTACCATGTGAGGGAGATACAGGAGGCATGGAGAGGGGGTGAATGCCTGAATGCTGAGCCTGGACATGTCTCTGCACTTCATGGCTGTTCAACGGACATCCTAAGGGCAGAGGGCAGCATTCCTGGACAGACCAGGGGAGAACACAAGACTTTATCAGGAGGGGACCAATAAAGCATGCTGAGTTGGGGGGGGGCGACTCAGGTTCGTGCATCAGAAGCAGGGGCCACAGCTGGGACCCACTGTCTGACCTCACCCTTGTCTAGGGACCCCACCCTTCTGCCAGCCTAGCCCAAAGTGCCAGAGCCCACAGAACGAGGCCCTAAATCACCGGGGCTAGACCAGCACTTGGTGGGTGGGGACTTCTGTGGTCACTGCTGGAGCCACACACTGTGCTGCTGGAGAGGAAAGAAAACAGGGAGAGAACAGCCCTGCTTGCCTGCGGCCACAGTCCCCGGGAGAGAAAGTCTAGTACAGCCTCTGTGTGGAAATGTGGTCAGCAATGGGTGTGACTGAGACAACCAGGAAGGCCGGCTCTGAAAGACCCTGCTGTACTCTGGGCCCTGCTACAGCAATGCAATCTGGGGGTTCCAGTGGAAACTGCTGTGCCTTGGGCAAAAGGCCTTCTAATGATCTCATGGGCATTCCCACTGGAGTAAAGAGAAGGGTGGAGACCCCCGTGAGTCGACTCTTGTCAGGACGGTAACCTTTATGGCCAGCTCAGATGAGTCTTGGCTGCCAGGTGACAGACACATCTGCTGCTCTGAACGTGTCATCCCAATGCCATGAGGGGGCTGTGAATGATTCTAAGTGGACTTTATCCTGAGGCAAGGGTAGGGCGCGCGCGCGCGCGCGTGCGCGCACGCGCACACACGCACGCACGCGCGCGCGCACACACACACACAGAAAGAGAGAGAGAGAGAGAGAGAGAGAGAGAGAGAGAGAGAGAGAGAGAGAACATTGGAAAGAAGGCTAGTGTTAGCTAAACGAGCCCTCACCTCTGCCCCTTGCCACCTTCTCCAGCTTGAGGCCACGGGGACATTGCCCACCTCCAACATTCTCAGCTCATTTCTTGTTCTCAAAACTAAATGTCACACATTGGTACATTTATAAAGAACAGAGTTTTATTTGACTCATGGTTCTGGAGGCTAGGAAGTTGAAGGGTATGGGGCTTGCAACTGATGCTGGGTGTTGGTGTGTGTGTGATGGCTTGGTGCGATGTCAGGACATGTGGAAGGTGTCACATGCAGACTGTGCAAGTGTACCTGAGGGAACTTGCCTTTAAAACAAAGCCATCCTCAAGACAACCTGTTAATTCATGAAAGGATGAATCTATTCACAAGGGCCCTGGCAGAGGTCTCCTCTCTCAAGATGGTTACACTGGGGACAGTTTCCAGGACACAAACTTTTAGGGTACATATTCATACAATAGCAGACCTCCAATGTCCCCAATAGCTGGTTCTGTTCACCATGTCAGGACCCCTCATCAGCCTTATTCTAGGGAGGACTTGGGCCTTTTCCCATGCTTGGGTGTCCACAGACTGCCTGGTCCTTTGAGCTCCAGAGGGCTTCAAAACTGCACCATGACATAGAATCTAAGAGATCCACCTTGCCTAGCACCCATGCTTGAGTGCAAAGCATGGGGACCAGCACACCCTAGACGCGTTGAATACGTAAATAAATGGGTGTCCTGCAAAGGACCCTCCCCGGTGGGAGACACCCAGTAGCAAAGGGGCGACCCTCAGAAAGGAAAGGTCGTCATGGTGCCAGGGGTGGCTGCCTCTCCTCTGTTTCATGGCCAGAGCAGGGATCAGAGTTAACAGGCTTATGAATGTCTGCCCAGGGAGTGAGCAGGAGGACTGGGATGTGGGTACAGGAGAGGGTGGGGCTCCACAAGAAATACCATGGTGGCAATCACAATTTCTCTAAAATAGCTCTGTATACAAGGTCCCTCGTCTATGTGTCGGTTCCCGCAGAGACGAGCCATGATCTGGGGGCGTCTCGGTCCAGTCTTGGTCCTCATCCTGGTCCTCGTCACGGGCTCCGCCAGCTGCCTGGCCGCCCGCCGCCCCAAGCAGCAGAAGGCGCCTTTTGGTTATCTAGGCGCAGGGAGAAGCTTGCAGGGGCGGGGCGGGCGGAAGCCACAGCAAACTAGGCACGGCGCTTGGTGGTCCCACGGAAGCCCTGCGAGGAAAGGGGCGCTGAGACCCGCCCCGCTGGCCCGACGGGGAACAGCCCCTCGGTGCCCTGCCCACTGCCGCTCCCCCACTACCCCATCCCACTGCCTCAATCCATCAACTTGTTCCCACTCCCCTCTCCCACTGATGCGTCCACTACCCCATCCCAACGCCCCATCCCACATCCCCCAGTGCTCTGTCACCATCCACCGCCTCGTTCCCACGCCTACAACACCTTGCTCCGCCCACTGCCACGCCCGCACAGCACAATCCCTGTACCTCTGGACCTCCGGGCCATCATTCCCCCAACTCACTGCCGCCCTGCACTGTTCAACTCCACCGCCGTCCCGCCCTATAGCCCCTCCTACTCCCGTCCCCGACGCCCCCAACATCCACTGCCACAGCCACTGTCTCCACCATCCGGCTGCCTGAGGTACCATTGCTCCTTCCCTACCTCTCCACCCCACCCATCTGTTCTGACCAGCGCTGCCAGTGGGGAATTATGCCTCCTGCGCCAGTCACTTCTGCCCCGGTGAATCTGAACTCCTGGACCAACGTTTCACCGTCCACACCCATCGCACCCTGAGGCCACACCCACTGTACTATGAAACCACGCCCATCATCCAAGACACCAGACTCCTCTCGTTCCTGAGACCCTGTTCCTAGGGCAGACTGTAATAAGGCACACCCGCTTCACACCATTTCTACCCAGAGAACGAAAGCCTAGCGCCAGCAGGCGCCCGAACACACTCACTTTATGGACGCCACCTGTCTCCTTTACTAGCTTTCAGAAAACCTAGACTTCTCAATACCCAAACTGGGGCTGAGGAGTGGAGGTAGAGTCTGCAGTGAAGACCACAGAGGCTGGGGATGCCCCCCTTTTGTCCCTCTCTACCTGCCAACCCCCTCAACACCGCCAAGGCATGGGCAGTCCCAGCCAGAAGGAGTGGGTGGGCTCTGTGTCTCTGGGCTACACTATAGGGCTGGTCTTGGGAACAGAAGGGAAGGCGCCATTCCCATTTCGGGAGGAAGCTGCCCTATTGGACACTGGACACCGGAGGGCAGGATCTAGGGCTCACTGAGCACAAGAGGGCTGCAACATTCTCCTATCTCCAGGAGGTTTACCTTCCTGGGGAAGGTTCCTACTGGTCCTGACACTGGCCTTTTTCTTCCAGTTTTCCTTCCAGATCTTTGCCCACCCCCGGCCTTCCTGGAGGTGGCGGCCAGGGGAGACCTAGTGTCCAGGCTGTTCCAGGAGACACAGCCCCAGACCTTCATGCCCTGGGTGGAACTGAATGATGAGTCCTGGCATTGACCAAGATGGGGGTGGGCACAGGGGACCGAGGGATGATGAAGGTAAGGGTAACCAACAGTCCTTATTCTGCAACTCTCCAGCCAGCACATGGAGTAGGTAGGGGTCATCTTGGGCCAAGTCCCTGCCCCATGTGTCCCAAGACATTGACCTTAGGGTGCCAGGCTAGAAGGTGACCAGGAACAAGGCCAAGGGTGGCAGCAGCTTTGTACTTTGTAAAGTGTGTGTCCTCTCGGATAGGGATTGTCGGGAAAGGAGGATGGGCTAGCTCCAAGCCAAGGAGCCATGGCAGGGCAAATACGCCTGAGCAACGCAAGGGGCCTGGGCCTTCCTGAGGGAGGGAGTGTGGAGGGGAACACCACCAGCCAGGACTCTAATAATGGCTGAGAAGGCACACTGAAGGAGGCAGGCCCCTGGACTTGGGGAGTCATCCATATAAGTGGTCCCGGGAGTCCCGACCAAACCAACATGGGGCAGAAGGTAGGAGAAGCATTGCTGGAAAGCTGTAGAGAAAACCAACAGAGCAGAAAGCTGGGAAGGTCATGCAGGGCCGAAGGAGGCCTCCTGGGGTATGGGAGACAGAAGGGCATCCCTTGGAGGAAAGAGATCCCTGCTCCAGGAAAGCAGAAACCACCAAAGGTTATTTGTACCTCCTCCACTGCCGCACCCTGACCCTTGATCCCGAGAAGAACTGAAGGAGAGATCTGTAGAAAAGGGAATGCCAAGTCAGCCTGCCTGTGGATTTGAAGACAAAGTCTTATCTGGCTGGTGGAGAAGTAGAGAGATGCCTGAGGTGGCTGGGTTACAAATGGAGCAGACTATTCTATGAAGGTTGAACCCACATCCAGGAAGAAATGCAAATGACCTCTGCTAATGATTTGTTAAAGAAAAGAGTTCACAGTAAACATGAGCAAGTTCGGGTAGACACTGCTGAAGGAGCACACCGGGCAAAACAGTTAGGATCGCTGCACAATTAGACATGGGACATAAGTTCCATAATTCCAAACGCAATGTTGAAAGTAAGAAAGAAAGGAAAATAAGCTAAAAGATGACCACAAGGTAGGTGTGTGTGTGTGTGTGTGTGTGTGTGTGTGTGTGTGTGTAATTCATGTGTGTGGACATGCATGTGTGTGGTCAGATATGGAACTCAGGACCTCATGCTTGCCACTGGCAAGTTCTCTATCACTGAGCAACAACCCGGCTTAGTAATTTTATTAAAACACAAGTCCTACCGCTACTCTTTTGAGACAAGGTTTCTTGTGTCCTAGGCTGCCCTTGAACTACTTCCTATGAAGCCGAAGGTGATGGTGAACTTCTAATCCTCCTGCCTCAACCTCCTGGAGTTTATGTGTTGCTGGGGATGGAGCCTAGCACCGCCTGCATGCTAGGCAAGGACTCTACCAACTAAGTGACATCCCCAGCCCCACAGGCGGAACTTGTAAGAAATGGATATTAGAAGAGTAGAGATTGACATCTGTGGATTCACAGCATAGTGAAGCAGGGGACCGTTCCAAGGGCGACACAGAAACCAGGCAGCTCAAACAGTGGAGACCAGGACCGTGTGCAGCCACTAGGAAGGGTTAGCAAAGGCTAGCCTGAGGTCAAAGTGAAGGAGGGAGAGCAGGGATGAAGGCCAGATTTGAAGAGATTTCTAACTGGCCAGTGGTGACAGTACACTGTTGTTTGTTGTTGTTTTGAGACAGGGTCTCACTTTGTAGTTCCGACTGGCCTGGAACTCACTATATAGTGTAGTGGGTAGCTGTTCCAGCTTTGTCCTGGAAGTACTACCCCCATTGAGGCCTCTGGTAACTGTCATGCCTACGAGGCAGAGCTGAGACAGGAGCGCTTAAGACCTGAGATCTGGAAGTGCTGACTCTCTTGGTTCCTGGATCCTGGACGCTGGAGGTAGACGGAGCAGAGTTCTCCAGAGAACACCGCCAGACTGTGCTTCACCTTTCCCGGACCCTGTAACCTATCCCTTCACTTGTAAGTTACCCCACAAAATAAACCTCCCTTTTAACTACATGGAGTTGCCTTAATATTTCAAACAATAATATAGATGACCAGGCTGGCCTTGAACTCACAGAGATCCCCCGTCTCTGTCTCTGAGCGCTGGGATTAAGTCATGCGCCACCACAATGCAGCTCAGTGCACAGTTTAAAGGAAATCCTGGGCAATCCAGGATGAGTAAATAAGCCACATGCCTGGACGAATAGGTGACTAGAAGGTTGGCAGACTGACAGCTTACTGTAGGACAGGATGATGACAGTGGGGTTGGTTTTCTCTTTAAAATTTGTACTTTTATTTGGTGTGCACACATGTGGTCACAAGTGCCACGGCACATGTGTGGGTGTCAGAGGACACCCAAAGGAGCCAGTTCTCTCCTTCTACTGTGTGGGTCCTAGGGATCGAACTCGGGTCGTCACGACTCATGGCAGGTTGCCCGCTGAACCATGCTGCCCACCCTGCAAATGCTGGCTTTCTGAAAGCAGGCAGAGCTGTGCAGGTAGAGTGCGCTGAGGGTGTGCTGAGAGCAGGTGGCTGTTGCCTGTCTGTGCGCGGCACTAGTGTGAGAAGCAGCTGGAGACCATCCAGTCACCTGAATGTCCCAGAACCTCACCGAGGGATGCTGTTGAGCCAAATCAAAGCATTCTCCCCTGGGAGTCTGGGACACGTGAACCTGCAGAAGGCCAGAGGTTCATAGGCAGGCAAACTTGGAAAACAGACTGGATAAGGCCAGCGTTGTATCTGTGGCATAAGAGGCATTGCAGGGCTGGGTTGTAACTCAGTTCTGAGAAATTTGCCTAGCAGGCATGAAGTTGTGGGTTCCATCCTAGCCTCACCACCACTACCACACACACACACACACACACACACACACACACACACACACACACAAGTGTTAGTCAATTGTCAACCACAGCAAGATCGCTGCCAGGGGAACATCTCTAAGCCTCAAGGCTCTTAGGCTATCTGGGTAGGAGGGAAAAGTTTTGGAATTTGGTAAGGAGTGTTTTCAGGTACCACTATACCACCAGGGACAGACTATTTAACCTCTAAACCAGGAACACTGAAATGAGAGAAATATAGAAAGTCTGGAGGCGTGGCTCAGTTGGTGGGGTGCTTGCCTCATAGGTACAAAGTCCTGGGTTCAGCTTTGCATGAACTGGACGTAGTTGTGCATGTCCGCAATCCTAGCACTCCGGGAGACAGAGGGATCAGAAGCTTAAGGTTCTCTTCTGCCACACAGAGAGTTTGAGTCCAGTCCAGGCTATATAGGATCCTATCTCAGGAAAGAAAAAAAGTCACTGGGCGGGGGTGATGCACGCCTTTAATCCCAGCGCTCGGGAGGTGGAGGCAGGTGGATCTCTGTGAGTTCGAGGTCTGCCTGGGCTACAGAGCGAGATCCAGGACAGCCAGCGCTGTTTCACAGAGAAACTCTGTCTTGAAAAATGAAAAAAAAAAAAAAAGAAAAGAAAAGAAAAAAGTAAACATCAGAGAAAGAAAACCGAGCACGGGTGGCTGGTGGGAAATCAATGGCATCAGTGGTAGATGCTCCAGTGGCTCTTGTGGCCTGCCTCCTGTGCACATGTTCAGGATGGGCACGGGAACAATTGAACACGGTGACTGCTGTGGGGTGGTGTCCCACTGGGCCACAAGACCCAAGTCTTTTTTGTTTGTTTGTTTTGTTTTGT